GACGAGAGACGCACGGAAGGCAGGAAAAAACACTGACAATGAAGTCGACCGCCTTTTTTCCAGAGGCGCAGGCACCGGAACGGAGGGTTGAAGAGGACCTTACCATCGGGAAACCAGTGGTGGAGGAGGTCCGGTTGGCGGCCTGCTCCAAGGGCAGACCGCACGACAGGTGGGAACCACGGCACTTGCGACCAGAGGCGCGGGGAAGGCAGGAAAAAACCCTGACGGGGGAGATGGCTTTTTTTGTCTGCGGGCGCAGGCACCAGAACGGAGGGGGTGGAAGAGTAGATCGCCGGCACGTGTGGGGGCAAGCACCAGCAAAGAGCCGCACAGAAAATCAAGATTGGCGAGAAAGACTTGGCGTTCTTCTGGTTGGCNNTGGCTCTTAGGACTTTAACTTTTGGGATTTCTATATGAACTATAAATATTATAATCAGTAGGCTAAAAGTTTAGCATTCAGGAGGGGTATCAGAAGTCAGCCAAGAAAAGCACTGGGAGAAAGAGACCCCAGACAGGGCAGGCCGGTCGGAATAAGATCCAAAACAAGCATCAGAGGGCAAAGGGATCATGAAACTGTTCCAAAAAAATGATAACCAGGGGAGAGAGAGACCCTAGTCAGGGCTGGCGGGTCGGAAAAAACGCCCAAAAAAGAGAACCAGGCAGGAAACTGACCCAAAACAGGCGGAAAATCACTAAGCCCACCGTCCTCAGCGAGCTATAGAGTGCTGGAACACTGCTGATTTTTAGGATGTTTCGCAACTGGGGGTGACCTGCATCGAGACCCCGGACGGAGTGACAGCTGAAGCTTGGGAGGAAGGCCAGCTAGATGCACAAGTCTGTACTACATGCTTTGAGTTTCCGTCGACCATCTGCCGCGAGTTCTTGCATGTTCTTGCGGAAGCTGCAGGCCTGAAGCAGTACTCCAAGCGCAAGGCAGATGACGCGGCAAGAAGGTCCTGAGCAGCATGCATCTGCAACCCTGACCTTGGCGTACAGCTGCCTGGTGCTGTTGTTATGTGCATCATGATGTCGACGCAGCGCCGAGCGTCGTGCGACCATTTCGATAGCTCGTTTGACTTCGCGCTCGCTACCTGTGGACTGCACGGGCCAACTGGGCAGACTTGCAAAGCAATGTGCCCCGAGAACGGGCAAGCGTCTACACTGTACACCGAGCGCAGCCCGACAGTCACCCAGACGTCAAAATAAGTTGTTTGTTCTGCCTTAGGCCTTTGGCCAACACACAGACCAATTCAACCGTCGCAACATTAGACCAATGTGCAGCAGGTTGCGGCCGACTCAGCAAAGGATGGCAAAGACGGCAAGGAGGGCAAAGACGCGAAGGATGCAACGTGAGCCCGCAGTCCCTTCAGTTCGGGGGAATTTCACCACGTCCGTATCATTGCACAGGGACTCTCAACGATCCTTCTCTGGTGGGGAATGGACAGCAGATGCAGTCTGCGTCGATGTAATTACTCAGTCGCTGGTTAGCGGTGCGTGCAGTACGAGGACGGCGCCAAGATCGGAAGCTCAAAGTTGTCCGAGAAACAGCCCGGGCCCCTGGAAGTCAGGAATCCCCCGAAGGTGCTGAAGCTCCAGGAGTGGCATCGAGTTTGGATGACATCACGAGCAACAGCATTGCTCTCAGGTTGGCTGCCTTGGAGCGCCTTCGGGAGAGGGCTTTGAAGCCGCTGGTGCCCCGGATCTGAGGGCTGAAAGTGCGAAGAATTTGTGGCCGCTGCTCAGTTGGTCAAAAGCCTAACTACAGATGTGGCAACCCGACACTCTCGGCGTGCTGCTGCTGCTCCTGGGGCTTGCGTAGACCTGCAAAGGCCCAAGGACGCTGAAGCGTCCCCAACAAGTCCCGAAGGCGGCTGCACGCGTTGCATGACTGGGCCGTGCTGGCGGACAGGCAATGTAGATAAGCGGTTAAAGTAGACGCCAGTGAACCTCCCAGATGGAAGCTAGGAATCCTCAGCCTCGCGTTGCCTGGTACAGATGGCAGGGCATCAGTGCTAAGTTCACGACTCTATCACATCTGCAATTTCTGCATGAGGCGTTGCAACTTGATGCGTTCATGTTGGGATTTTGGGCTCGCACTTCGCATTAAGCTCATCTGTAGCAACAAGAAGTGGCAGCAGCAGAAAGACGGAGATACACGGAAGTGTATGGGTAAACAACCTTGACCGCACTTCTTCAACAGACCCCGACGTGAGAGCGGCTCTGTGTAGGTACATCGTATTTCACGGCTACGGTTGCCATGTTGCGTCTTCACTTTCTGCTTGTTGCGCTGCAACATGCTGTTGCCGCTGTGCAGGCCTTGCAGTAAGCGGCACGGGAATGAGATGGGTTCTCGGCTGACGGGAAATCAGGACATCAGCTTCGAGGACTACGTGAGGCAGTTTGACAAGGTGCCTGTCTCAAAGCAGCCTATCATCGCCTACGATCTGAGTCCTTGTTTGGGTTCCATGGTCCCAAACAGCTCGCAAATCCAAAACCATGGACAAACGAGAGCTGAGGTGTACCATGGCGCAGAGCACCTTGGTGAAATAGCACTTCCGTCTGAGTGCATGAACATCTTCCCTCAGGTTGAACATGCGACGGGTTCTCTTCGAGCAGCGCAAGGCACAGCTGATGGCGGTGGGTTCGCCGAGAACCTGGACCGCAGGCGCGTCGGCTCAGGCGCTGCTAGTGTTGGCGAGCGGACGGGCTGGATGCCGAGGTTTCAATCACCTCACAGATGCCACCCCGGAAGAGCTGCAGAGCAGCCGTGGCTACCGCAAGGTGCCATGCATCTAGGAGCGAAAAACATGTCAAATCGCTGCAAGCAGATGCACTCCGCAGGAGCTTCGAAATGCGGCCGAGGCAATGTAGCCGTCCTGGTACAGCTGCAGCCTGAAACCTGAACAAGCTGTTGTGCCAGCGTACAGTGCAAGATCACCGGCAGCAGTCCAATCCCTACACATCCAAGAACCTTTTCAAGGCCACCCCAGCCCATGAGTCCAAAGCTTTGGAGGCGGAATGCAAGTGACTGTGGCGGGAATACCCTGTCCGTACAACCCGAAAAAGCCGACTGGTGGGAAGACAGTGCCGAATTTCTAGTAACTAGTAGAACGGAGCGATTCCGAGACCACGCCGAAGAGGCGAACAGTGACCAGTGACTAGTGTTTGCCCTGCCAGGAATTTTCAGGATTTCGAGCGCTAGTCGCCTCGCAGACAAACGAACCGATCTGTCGCAAGAATCTCATGACATGACCATTCGTGAAATATGACCTACCGTGGACGTATGTGCATACTTCATGTGTTTCCATGGAGCGCGCAGGCCCATCCAGCCCGGGCATCGAAGAGTCGCGCAGGAGCAAGGACCTGGAGGGCAATGGCTTCAAGATGACCGGGTCGACTTTCATGTGTTCCTATTGTGCTGTGGATACCAGAGGAACTCGTGGGTTGCACTCTTGTAGAAAGATGACACAAGAGGAAGAAGACAGACCTCCCGGATGCGATCGACTGGCGACAGCGGAGCCCGGCTGTGTGTTCGCCAGTGAAGAGCCCCGCGGCTGCCAGACATGGAACTAATTACGAGCCGTGCGCACAGACGTATCCGAGCAGAGAGCTTAAGGAGAAAGCAGCAGCTATCGGACATGCGTGACTTGTGGGGAGAGCCCACGTTTCTAAGGCCAAGGCGGTTGCGGCCTGAGCGTGGGAAGCCCTGATGAGAATTGAAGCAGTCCCTTCAGAACGCAAAACATCGTGGCATGTCTACAAAGTCCTTTGAGAAGGTTGCGGCAGTTGCTGGGCTTTTGCTGCTTCCACGGTGATCGTCACTTGGCGTAGCCGAGGCTGCAGTCTCTCTTCGTTTCGTTTCATCAGCACCAACCAAGGAAAGCCATGTGGCCATAAACACCGGCGTGCTCCTTTCACTGTCGCCTCAGGATTTCTGCAGTGAGATCAGTAGATTCAGTAGGTCAGCCGTGAAGCAGCAAGCAAGTTGTCTTGCTGGAAATCACGGCAGCTCACGGAAATCAAGATGGCTAGTCAAACAAGTGCCTCGCATTGACATGCTGTCAGGAGATGACTTCTTGCACCCCGAATCCAGACCATTGCGGGGGCGATGGTGGTTGCAGTGGGGCCACAGCTCAGCTTGCCTTTGCGTATGCAGTCGAAGCAGGTTCGCCACTGTACTTTCAACTGGAGTAGAGCTCGATACAAGTGAACGGGGAAGAGTGAGCAGAGCCGAGAATCGCAAGCAATATCCCAAGCACCAAAAACCCAACCAAATTGGGCTGTGTGATTCGGGGCCGGGTCCGCAAACATCAGCCAACGACTCAACTGTTGGCGTCAGCATCCGGGTATCCAACTTAGATGATAGACTTAGCGGCCATGCAGGTGGTGTTTCAGACATCTGGCACAACCCGTACTTGAGCGGCATGGAGTTCAAAAGCCGTTTGTGTTTCGCCCCCAGAAATGCTGCAGTCATTTGTTTAACGCTGCTTCTGGCAAGTTCTTCTTGCGAGGTCAAAACAACACGCAGTTCTGGTTGCCGCGAAAGGCAAGCATCGAAGGCTTCGTCACGCTGCCGCAAAACGATCCCCAGGCCATTTCTATCCGTTGCACTTCAATTGGATTGAGCAGGGTCTTGCTACGCCTTGGAATCCGAGTCTTGCAGGCCTTGATGGAAGCAGTTGCAAAGGATGGGCCGATAGCTGTCTCTGTGGATGCCACTGATTGGTGGATGTATGGAGGAGGCACGAGCTTTCTAGCTGGTCATGATTCACGCCCAGGCATCAGATAAACATTGTCTGGGTGTGCGGTTTTCGAAATGCTTAATCTTGGCGGATCGGATGCCGTAAGGTGAGGTGTTCGACACAGTAACAGCCTCCGCAACTTTACGTCAGACGGACATCGCAGGGCGGCGTGTTCGTGGTGTAGCGCGTGTGTGGACGGTAGTAGCATACGGTAACGGCAAACGCCGCTAGCACTCTGGCCCGAACGACATAAAGCTTTTCTCCTGGCCTTTCATTCCTCGACGCTATGTCTGGAAGTGGCAGCGCCGTCCCCATCAACCCCGCACCACAAAGGAAGGCGCCGCCGCAGCACCCTGGTGCGCCGGTGCCCGATCGCGGCATTCATCACGCCGTGGCGGGGATGCGTGCCGTGTTGCAGGTCGGCCGCCAAGGTGGTGTATACCCCGCTTGGGCGGCGCTGGCGGCGGAGATGACGGAAATCGAGGCAGCATATGCAATGGGACGGCTGCCCCCTTATTCCTTCTGGAAGGGCCGCTGCTTTTTGCCCACTGTGTGGCACCAGTCAAGTGAGTTCCATGATCACTCTGCCAGAAGTTTCAGCGCCGTGTCTGAGTTTTGGCAGGAGAGTGCGGTCGAGTGTTTCTGCAACTGATGGGTTTGTGGCCTCCACTCTCATCCTGCACATGTACGATTCTGTCACTGGGTTCAGGCGAGTGGTCACCACTCTTGACTTGCACGTGCTCTCTGCCTACGTACCTCGAGCTACCAGTTTACGTGATTGTCGAGCCCACCCGGTCCCAAGTCCGGGCAGCGCGACACAGAGGCACTGATGAGCCGGGCCTTTAGGGGTGCTTCTCCTCAAGGAGTGGTCAAGATGGAATTCCAATTGGCTTTTCTACTCCGTTTGATTTGAATTTGAGAAGTATGCGCAGCAGTTTCAGTTGAAGTCTGGTGCTTATCGAGTGCACATTTCCTTGGTGAACAAACAATAACATGTGCTTGTGGCCTTACATCGGAGAGGGTGCTGTTCTCATTACTGACGCTTTAGAGTGGCAACTGCCTTCTTGGCCCATGTTTTCCTTCCTAGGGAGTATGACGGCTGGACGATGAGCTAATGTGCCTGCCGGGGGTGGCTACGTTCCGAAAACAATGGTGCCTAGAGGCCTAGTAACGTGCTTACACGGATGAACAAACGGCTGATGCAGGTTACAGTTTAGGTCAGGTGGTTCTCTGCCGAGTATCTATGGTGCCCCGCGTTGCAAGTGGGTTGGAACCGAGAACTTTGTTTCCGTGTAGGCGATCGCCAAGCGGTACAGTATACTTTGTTGCACTCGGTGGATAACACTTTGAGTTTGTATTTTTGGATGGTTTAGGTATTTATGGCTCCTGTGTTTCAGTGCATGGGTCTTAGTCCCAGGCGACAGCTTTTTCTCTTGATGGCAATGAGACGGCTGGCATGAACGAAGGCACAGAGTCCCTGAAGATTCCTGTGGCACGTTTAAAAGCTAGAGCAGAAACAGTTGCAGCATTATCCTTTTTTTCAGCAGTTTACCGTTGCAGCTGCCGTTGGCGCTCCGGTATTTGCGATGCGATCACAAGCAATTCTGTCGGTTTCTTGGTTTTTGAGACTTCCTCTTGAAAATCTTTGTGCACTGAGCTGGAGTGAGAGTGTCTGCCGAGCAGGGTTTGAGGCTTCCTCCCCTTTGCAATGTGTACAGTTAGAAGCTATAGCTCTCGCGTTAGTTGTAAAGTTGCTTACTTCCAGTGTAAGGCCGGCGTTAATGCCAACAGAAGTTCTTGCAGCAGACGTTGTTTCTGCCTGCCCGCAGCCCATGTGTAGAGCAGTTGACTCTTCATAGCCAGCCTGGTCTGAGGTCTCCTCCCCTGGCTTGGTGTCCGTCTGAGTGCTTGAGGTTACTCTGCGGAAGTTCTTGCAGCAAACGCGTTCTCTACATGTTTGTAGCCCATGTGCAGAGCGGTTAAGCCTTTGACGCGTGCAAAATCTGAGGTCTCCTCACCCTCGCTGGTTGTTCAGCTGAGTACTTAACCGGGTGGGCCACCTGTGTAGACTGTTTTGTATTTTAGGGTAGTCGAGTCGTCGAGCTCACTACTTTCCTTTCAATTATATACTGCGTGTGTTGCATGTCGGTTGTCTTGGCTAGTAAGAGCGTGAAAGCCAAGTCCATGGTAACATGTCCTGCTGATCGCTTCGGCGGCGTCGGGACATCGCAGCTTCTCTTGGCGACCTTTTCTCCAAAAAGAGGGTGAAAAGGTCACACTCGCCCGCCTGATCGTTGACGCAACGGACACGAGGGAATGAGTGACAAAAAAGGACGCCGTGTCCCGGGATGACTTCGCCCGGGCATGAGAGGGCTGGACGCGAGTGCACGGACCCCACGACGAGATCCTGAACATGTTTGCCAAGGCGGCCGGCCCCCTAGAGATTGCCACTGCAGAGGCGCCCGACGAGCTTCTCCTGACGGCACAGAATCTTCAGGGCTGAGCTTGCACGTTGTGGGGAGGCGGCGCACGCGCGGCGGGTGCAGAACGCGCCCCGGCACCGGTTAGCCGCCTGTTTCGTCGCTGAACGGCATGATCAGCGCTTGTACCACACGACAAAAGGAAGGGCGTCGTGTGAGTACAGTTTCGGATCAACGTCGGTCGGAGTGTTCCGTATGTTTTGTAACTGTGTGGGCCCGTGGGCAATAATGTACGCTAACGGCGAACGCCGTTAGCACTTTGGCCCGAACGACGTAAAACTTTTATTTATCCCACTTTCACCACCCAAAACTGCCTTATGGTCGGACGGCGAACGACAGCGGGCCGGGTGCAGAATGCACCCCGGCGCCGTTCTAGCTCGTTTCGTCCCCGAACGGCATGATACAGCGTGTATACCACACGACAAACGGGTGTCGTGTGAGTACAGTTTTGGATCAACGTCGTTCGGCGTGCTCCGTATGTTGTAGGTATTTTCGATGCCTGCAACAAGACGGCTCCCAACATCAATCATGCCGTGGTGCTGGATGGATATGGCATCGAGAATGGGACCAAATACTGGCTCATCAGGACCGGAAGTGGGCACCAGCCGAATTTGCCGAAACTGATTAGAGTGCGAGGAACTCGTGGGGAGACAGCTTCGGAGAACACGGCAGCTGGGGCTGAAATACCGACTTGACTTCCTGTGCTTTGCCGTTAGCAGATGGGATTTTATTTTGCAGGTTACATACGACTTCGTCGACATGACGACGAGCCCTGCGGGGAAGATCCAGAACCTCTCGAAGGTGTCGGCTGCAAGGCTCGAGCCCGAGTGATATGTCGTGGCCGCAGCTTTGGATCAACGTAGGTTGGCGGACCGGACAAGATCTGGGCCTGCGGCGAATGTGGTGTGCCAGCCTTAGGGTGCCTGGCGCAGCGCGAGTGCCTTGCGCAGAAGCAGCGAGGAAGTGCCCCCTTGTGTCCCAGGTGCTGTCGGACTCGTCTTACCCGTTGGGCGCGAATCTGGGGCCCAAAAAGGCGGAAGCAGGTGCCTGGGCACAGAGAGGCTCTAGGACTCTAGGAAGGAACAAAAAGGCATCATGTCTGGTTCTGCTTCATGTTTCGTCCGAAGAACGTTGAGGACCGGGAGATTCTCGACGATTGGCCACGGTCCATGTCTAATTCTGCAGGCCGTCGTTCGGCCTCGGAGCACCTGACCAGCTGACCGGCTCGCTATGACTGTTGCCTGATCTAGTCACTCTATTCATCTAGTCCATGTAAGTCCATAGGGGCTGGTCAGCAGGCTGTTCCATAATTAACAGTTCTTGGGAAACTCAGAGCATGCAGTGCCCAACGAGACAGATGCCCGCAAGACGAAAAGCCAAGTTTGGCTGTTCTTGCCGCATGTGGTTTTGCTTTCGCTTGTGTCCGTTCTGCACATGCTCTTTGAATTCAGACGGTTCCAGTCAAGCAGAACTGGGCAAGATTTTCAGCCTCTTGCAGTCTCGTCTCTACGTGTCCTTGGGACATCGGTCCAATCTGAGCTGAAATCGGGAAAAAGCTTTTGCTCTAGAGTCTGCACGGAAGGCATCCAATCCCAAACAGAGACTTTCGATATCTCACGTGAGTGCAGTGCACTCAGTGCCGGTGCTTCTTGCAATGCATGACACCGCTCTGATGTCAAGAGGCAAGCCAGAAGCGATGCGATGATGGGATGTGCGTGATCACAGCGGGAGATGAGCGGTCCAGTAGTGTAACTCCGAGTTTGAAGGACCCAATACCACTCGGCTGATGCACGCGGCTGATGTACAGACCGTGCCTTAAGGGCAGGGAGAGAGCCATAGCAGGCGTGCCGCAGCATGCATAGATCGAGAGCTATGGCTACAAATGACAGAAACTGGGCAGTTTGCATCGTGTCAGGTGGGAGTGCCGCTGCAGATGCCAGGGAAGCTCCTGAAGCCGCCGAAGCGTTCGGGCCTTGCACAGCTAGACCATGCTAGACTCTAGACCTCACCAGGATCTGGGTTTCGCGGGCTGATCACAGGGCATTGCCAAGGGAAAGGTTCAGCTTTTTCTGCGTACACAAGAGCCTCTGTGTTCCCCTCCAAGGTCAACAGCTTCTGGGCAGGCTTCCCTGTATACACGTGCAGCAATGCCATGTGATCACAAGATGAGCAGGTGTTTTGTTCCTGGATGTCGATGGTGGCAGTAGACTGTTAGGAACGGTAGAGGTGTAAAGAGGCGTTGAGTCTCCACCGGCTTGTCTGCAACAGGTGCCATCGGAAAATGGTGCTGCAGGACAGCTCGGACCAGTATTACATAAACATTGGCCGTAGCGCCGCGCCGGTCGACTCGTGGGAAACAGCAGGAGCGGCGGCTGGCCATGAGGGCTCCACAGATGCTTCCGAGGCAGAAAGGAAGCTCTTCGAATACGTCCGCTTCTTCACGCTTCGCAGCCGCGAGGTGCCCGCGGCGTCTGATGCACAGGCCCAGGCTGCATCAGCTGCCGCAGCCCCGAGTTGGCCCAGCTTGGAGTTGCAGAGGGCGAACTCATTTTCACTGAGGTCTTGCCGACGCCGACGGTGTGGTGCAGTCCTTCAGGTGGGGCCCGGGCTTGCTTTCTTGGGGCCCGCATGGCCCGCATAACAGGTGAAGCCTGGGCGGGCGGTGAGCAACCGGCGGTATGGGGCGGCGGAGCCGGAGCAGCCGCAGGCTGCGACCCACAAGTCGCGGCTGCGCCGGCCGACAGAGGCAGCTACGGCGGCCACGAGTGGGGGCAGTGGGGCCACGGGGCCGCATCCAATGCTTGCAGCAGTGGCTACGGTGGGTGGGAAGGCTGTGGTTGTGGAGGTGACGGCGCCTCTGCGGCTTGTGGCGCTTGTGGATCCAGCTTTGCAAAGGGCAGCTTCGACGTTGCCTGTGGCTTCCCCTGTGGCAATGGTGTCCCAGGCGGCTGCTTTAAAGGTGGCAGACCAGGTTGGCCCGGTAAGGGCGCGGGCACGGGCGAGATGTGGGCCCGCGGGTGCGGAGAGTTTTGGCAAGGCGTGGCCTGGAACAAAGGCCAAGGTCACACCCAAGGCTCTTGCCAAGGCAAAGGCGCAGGCGGCGATGCCTGGAATGCACATTTCACGCACTGGAGCAAGGGCGCTGGCGGCGCTTGGGACGTTAATGGAGCCGCTGGACGGGCCAAGGGCGGCTGGGCCCATGTCTGCACCTCAGTTTGTCAATTCCAGAAGGCATAAGCATCATTAGACATCGAATCGCCAAAGTGTTTCCTTCTCCAGGATTGGCAATGCTAGTCCTAAGTTGAGGAGCAGATTCAGCATTGACTAGCAGGCTACGCCGGCTGCTGGTTCCTGGTGAGCTGTTTGCAACGCCTGGATCCTCCGGATGTCGTGTCATGCTTGTGGCTTTCAGGCTGAAGCGACACGACAAAAATTGCTACTGACTCCGTTCTCTGACTAAGTAAGCTCATTGCACTCGCTGAAGACATGAAGGCCACATGATTTTCGTCCGAGGTGAGGCTTCTGCTGCTGAAGCTTCTGCAGTTGGCATGCGGCATGTTGCAATCTTTCTACGTATACTTTGAGGGGTCTTTGAGGTTGTGAGGCCCCAGAAGCTTCGCCACTGTCGGACATCATCTCTGTAAATAGTTGAGTCGCTCTGCGACTGCCTCGTTCTTGTCGACAAAAACCTGCTGTTTGCTCCGGCTCAGCTGCTCGCCGTGCTGATGCAGGATATTAGCGAAGCTGGCAGGGAGAAGCATGATAGCAGAAGTGGGAGATGACAGTCTGGTGCCACATGCAGTCTTTCCGTTATGCCAACCATCGATTTAGCCCTGCGTGATTCGCAGTTCCGGAGATCGGGGCAGATCTCTCTTTCGAGCTGGCAGAGGCAGGAATGCTTTATGGTTTGTGCGAGTGGAGGGCACTTGTGCTGATTCATGCAGCTGCAGAGACAGGGATGGCCGCAATCTGTTCTGTCTTGCGCGCACGCCTTAGTCTGCAAATGGATGTGTCACTTCCTGGCGCCGCCAGTCGACAAATGCAATGATGCGGAACTAAGCAAAGCTCAGGTGGAGATGCTTGGGGTGTGGAAGCCCTGGAATTCGTGAATCTGCGGGTGCACCCAGTACGACAACACTTTCATTCAGGAAGTCAGACCCGAGCTGCCCCTGGCAGTGGAACTTGACCAGCCTGACCACACGCCTGGGCCCAGAACACGGTTATGCAGCACCCTTTAGCAACAACATCTGCCCAGGAAGAAGGATGCTGCTTGGCTGCAGCTGTTCTGTCGTGTTGCGTCTACAAAGCTTCAACGATGTTACAAGGATGTTAAGGTTTTTCAGGCAATATGCGATACTAGTTGTATCACAACCCCTCGCATGTTTTTCCCATGTGTCATAGGTGCATCTGTGCTCAGATACCTCATTGTCAGAGGCAACAAAGCCGTTGACAGCACGTTAGGGCTTTTAGAGCATGGCCTATATTTTTTCAGTCAGCCACCCCGCCTGAGCACGTGGACTCCTTAGAACCCTGCGATAGCCTGCTCTGAATCTCATGTGGGTTTCGCATCGGTTTTCTGGGAATGTCGAAGTTTGCCACCTTGAGCAAGCTGTGTTTTCTCCAGCTTCACTATGCTGCACTTTCATATTTTTATTGAATTTCGGTATGGTTGTCTCTCCGCGGCTTTTTTTGGAGCCTTTTCTTCGCCTGTCCTCTGGGTTGTTTGACTGTTTATCTCAAGTTATCTGATCTGTCTGTCCGACTGCCAAGAGGGAAACCAGTGCATGGGCACGCCTGCACGTATGTACATGGGCATGTACTTGACGACGTTCGCCCTTGGAATGGTTGCACATTCAGCTTGCTCCCGTCGTGGTGACATACACGTCCGGAGCATCTGATCTTGAAACAAGCTCATGTGCGACCCTGGCCCTGGCCGAAGTGCACATGTGTGGCTCTGAGGACGTGTTTTCGTCAACCGGGTCCAGCCCCTGGCAAAGCAAGCGTCATTTTCAAGCTGGATAGCTGGATATTGATCATCGCAAGAAGCGGTCTTTTGGGAGAAAGGAGTCGGAGAGTTGTTGAGGTCCTGGCCTGGCTTAGGGGATGAGCCAAGGTGTGGGGCTTAAGCTGCAGGGAGCAACCGGAGGCAGCTTTGATCCTTCCTTGAAAGGGTTTGTGAGCGTCTCGTCGGGGACACCTCAAGCTCAGTGGAAATCCCTGGCGTTTTGGTCGAGGTACTACGAGGCTGACTTTGCGGACAACAAGTTCTACGGTCCAAAGGTGCCTCTGTTCAGAGCACCGTGGCTTGTCCAATGCCTCCATGGTTTCAAGTTTCAAGGATCGCGTGTTGGCTGCTGCATTCTTGGAGTCACCTCCTCGGCAACATGCTGCTTTGCAGTTTGCTTAGGTCAAGCTACGTCCCTTCGCGAACCGCTCGAGCATCGGAAGCTCTAAGGTTCTTGGGGTCGGAAGAACTCTGGGGTGATCATCTGCTGGACGAGCTCTGCCAAAGCGCAGAAGTCCTTCAGGCCCACAAGAGCAGGGTGTAGGCGATCCTTCATTCGATGAACGAACCGGGTTAGTGTGTCATTTGTGGATGTTTATTCTGAGAGCATTCTTATGCGCTGCTGCGTGTATATTATATACACTATATAGTATACAATATATAAGACATCATATACAATATAATATTATATTATATTATATCATATCATGTTATATCATATCATATTATATTATATTATATTATACTATATTATATTATAGTATACTATAGTGTATAATATATAATAATTGATATTTTTTATATAACGTATAACATATAATATATAACAAACATATATGTATATATTATATCCTATTCTGTTCTAATTTATTATATATTATATCATATTATATTATACTATATAATATTATATATTATGTTATATTATATTATA